ATCGTTATATAATCACTGGTTTTGAAGATGTCTTTGGGTTCGTACTTAACATTCAATCGTTTGTTATTTAAATGATTTTGTTTTGAATTATTGGTCAGAAATGAAGTGAAAAACTTCTTCACTTTGTTATTGTTGTCGTCGGCGAACAGTTGTTCCGCTTTTGTCAACTCGTTGTCCATCTCTTGGACAGTGTTTGCGACAACTTTGACGAATTGATCCAATCTGTCGATCTGTCCGTAGATGTGTTCCATCGACTGACACTCGTTTGTCATCTTTTTGGTCACTTCTTCCACACATATATTGCTATCATTTCTAATCATTTCAATTAAACCGCAAAACTCTTCCAAATGTGTCAACAGGTCTTCGACCGCGTCTTCGGTTTCCTTCTTCTGTGGACACAATTTTCACACTTTAATCGTTAAGACATATGACATGAATGGCATACCTCTGGACTGATGTCAAACTGGAAGTAATTAAAGTAATCTTTGCTTAATTGTTGGCTAATCCGCTGCAACTCGTCCTCAACTTCTTCCACGTCTTCTGGTGTCTCCTCTTCTTCTTCATCAGGTGTTTGGCAATCGTTTTCGTCGATCACATCCTGAGAGTCGTTGTTAAGAGTGATGTCTTCGTACGGTTCGGTCGGCTTATTGTCCATCACTTATGGATCCAAACAATACTGTATTGAAGACAACGATTGACACAAAACAACAACTATTGCATCAAAAAGTGGTAAATATTTATTTATTTATTCATAAAATACGTTAAAATCATATAAAAGTTTACAAACTTTTTAATACATTTTATACACGAATTAATTGATAAAAATTGATTAATTTTTAATAATAATTAAACATTTAATTATAAAACTAATTGATTTGCACTAAAAATGATTGATTTAATGATTAAAAGTATTGATTATATAAAGGATTGAATGGTTTGTTGTGAACGTAATTCATAGCAAACATTGCACTCAATATCGGACTCAAGAAAAGTGTAAACAAAACCGAAATCCCATTTAAATGACAAACAATTGAGTGAATGAATGAACGCATGTATTGATCGTCCGAAGAGCTGATCCATTGGCCGAGACATGAGATCCCATTATAAAGTGGTGGTATTGGGCGCCAAACAGTGCGGCAAAACATCAATACTGGATCAAGTGATCAATGGATCCAAACGCAAGTTCAACACCAATTACGAGCCCACCATTGAAGACATCTTCGGCGCTGTCGTCGAGACCGACAGACAGACCAAAGAGAAGATCTATTTCATGGACTTTTGCGGAATGGTTTGTATACATCAGGTGTTTGTTTAATGATATTTTCAAATAACATGTGTTTCATCTGACCTGAAGAGCGCTCCACTCAATATCGATGCCATCAAAACATACCTCTCGTTCGCTGACGTGAGTTAACCACCGATTGTCACATATTTTATGATAATTTAATCTATTGTTTGTTTGGTTATTATTTAGGCGTTTGTCTTAATTTATGCCATCAATGATAAGAACTCATATGTAATCGTCGATCACATCAAGAAAGCCATTGATAGACATAAAGACAAAAGAGATGTATGAATGATATGACGAAAGATGTGTTAATTGGATGTAATTAAGTGATGAATTGCTTTAAACAGATGCCAATCGTAACGATTGGCACAAAAGTGGACAGATTTCGGGAACGAGAAGTGGATTTCGATGAATCTCAGGGTTGGGCTCAACGGGAAAAGACCCGTCTGTTTGAAGTGACGGCCACTGAACGCAAATCATTGATTGAGCCGTTTGTCTATTTGGCCTCAAAGCTGAATCCACCGCAAAATAAGACAACTTTCCCTCAATTACACCGAAAAACCAAAGGCGGAAACATTTTGGGTTCACTTGAGTTATAGTTATATACGATTTGATGAAAGGAAACAGCATTTTGTCAGTATTTTTATATAGATTTTTATTAACATTAGTTACGAAACAAATCTCAGATTTATTGATACGAAGCAGAAAATAATGGTAACAATTAACACAGTATTCACCTGTAATTCGCTGTAAATATCAGTTCAAAAATCCAATCATTGAAGCGTTTATTTTTTGCTGTTTTAAAGTAAAATTTTAGATATTTACTGTTTGAATAATTTTAAAAGTATTAGAAAAATGTTATGTAAAGAGAAGTTGTGTTGATCTCTATATTTATGGAAAATATTTTTATAGCTGTTATGTCTAAATATTAAGCTCTAGTTTTTAACTAAAATCAAATCTTTCACTCATTCAATAATAATGTTATCATTAAATATGTTTAATAAATAATATTTTATTGAATTCTACTTCAATACAGACAATGGTTGACTGAATGAACATTTTATAGTATTATGATTGCTCTCAAAATTATTCAATGTTTAATCAATGTTTGAAATGCCAATCAGTTTATTTTTAACGAAATACAGTATTTATTACATCTTTATTACTAAAAGTTATCAAATATTTAAATCTTAAAAATTATTTTTCATAATCCATTGAATGTTTAAAACTATAAAAACTATTATTTTCGGAATAAAAGCTTATATGAATGTTGGTTTCAATGATAATCCCATTGAATAATGTATTTTAAGAAATGATATCAAATGGGTTATGCATTGAATACTGTATTTACTATGAATTGTATGTTAATCTATGGTTATATTTGAAAATAATTTCTTAATTACAACAAAAAATACAATAAAAGAAAACATTTATTTAGAATGAATAAAAATAAAGTGATTAATCGTATGCTAATTATCAACACATTTTAATATTGACTTTCATTTAATTCACTTAATTAGCGACTATTTGTAGCATAAATACCATGTGTTGGCAAAAAAGAGCAGTTTTTATGCTTCAATGTAATGGATAAGAGATGAGTTCCAGTGACACACATGGCATCACTTCATAGAAAAACAATTGTTGCAAATGAGCCCCTATTCTGGAGAAGTAATTTGAAATTGTTATCGTATATGCACTAACCCATTGAAATATTATCATTAATAGCTTTTTTGTAAACAAATTGAAACACAATTTGGATTTAAAGCAATTGTATAAATGGGAGACTAAAATAAAAATTGAATTAAACATTAATTATACAATATTTGTGCACAAGAATTACCTTATAGACAAACGCGCCTAAGATTGCATAATGTTTCTCAGCATTTGGATGTATAAAGACGGTACAGCGCGATTTTATAAGCTAAATAAATCGGATGAATTGTGGTTAACAATACACTACAGTATTACTAAAGAGAATTACTTAAAGTAAAGTAACGATTAAAAAGCGGAGACAAAGCATT